AGTGTTTATCATTGGATCCGACGGCGACTTTGGTTACCATACATACGGCTCAGGAGGAGGAATGGCTCACAAACTACTTGAAAACATTTGCAAACATATCGGAAGTGGTATGGATTGGACTCAAATGGTCGGGAAAGGGGTTCGTATGGGTCGACAACACTGCCCTCGACTACAAGAGTTGGGGAAAGGATGCTATACTCGATGGCAGCCTATTGTGCGGCGACTTTTCTATAAGTCCCTTAACAATGGGGAACTGGACCGACAATAGTTGCAATAAAAAGGGACTCATAGCTTGCCAGTCGCCACAAATGTCTCTGAGTAAACTATCTAAAAAGGTTTTTAAATTAGAAACTGAACTGGCTACTATAAAACAGCAAGTAATACCACTGGGTTTTCTCTATAGGCAATTGCCAAACACATCAGCGCCTGGACTATTATGGCCCGCCATGAAATGGGATGACGTGACCGCACAATATGCCGGCTTATTTTTCCGGGCCGAAGGCGGAACTGCTGCCACATTTGGTGAAACTCAACCTGCTAATTATTCACGAATTTCAACATTTAGTGGTTTTGAATGCACTACTTTTGAATGTTCATCGGCAATGGATGTTTTAAAAGAATTGCCTGAGGGTTGGTCAGAGGATTTATCACCCGGGCGTGGTTATTTAGATTTCTATTTACACACGACAACCGGCGAGAGTAGACCACGTAATACGGCTATTAGGCTATGGAAACGTGTAGCATGATACAAATATCTTATGAGTTATTTAAGTTTTTAATGTGTTGTTGATAATGTTATTTTTAATAAATTATAAATTTGTTTTATGGTAGAAAACAATTTATCAGTAGTATTAATATAATATTTTTGATTTTATTAAACCTGATTCATTATATAATCCAAAATTACAGTATTATTTTGATTTTATATTTGAAATAATTTTTTTATGTTAAACTTTATTATTTTTAAAACTTTTAAACTTATTATGTTAAAACTGTTTATTTATATAAATAAACACACAGTTTTATAAAAATAATTTCTATTTATATTTATTTTCAAATAATATATTAAAATTGTTTTAAATTATATTATACTGGTATTCTTTTTATTAAATGAATTAAAATTACACATAATTTCTAAATAAAATTAACTACGAATACAGATGTTTTATTTTATATTTAATTATGTTTTTACTATTAATTCCTACATTACAATGTAATTCTCAGAATATTGTTGCTAGATTATTCTTAAAATAAATCTGTATTACGATTAAACAATAAATAATATTTTACTTGTTATGCGTAACATTTCGGAGTAAATGACAAAGCTGACTAAATTGTATATCTACATGTTTTATATCAAAGGTCCACGACACTTTTACTTGTAATTCTGTTTCACATTATAGCAGTCATTTGTGGCAAAGTTTAGTAGATCCTATCGTATTTATCATAAATGGATAATTTACTATGTTTATCATATTAATAAATTAATTTATAATACGAATTTTTAAAATTATTTACTATAATAATTTAATATATAATAACTCATATTGAAGTCATGAATTTATTTATAAGCATTTTATTAGCACACCCTTATGCTACCGGTGCTGTATTGGTAATTACTTCATTAGCTATGTAAGTACGTTTACATGTCCGATTTAGTATTTCTTAATATTTATAAGCTTGTTAATATTTTTCATAGTTTACACTTGATGTAATCATTAATGGGTATTATATTATAAATATATACTTTAGTGATAAGCTATTAAATAGGTTTACGATTCATTAACAATCATAAATAACTATACGGATATATTCAATCACAATTTGAATTTTATTTGATCCTGATTCTATAATTAAAGTTACATTATAATGTTAATTTAGCTTTGTTAAGCACAAATTTACATACTGGGCCAGGCATGGTGTACCCGGACCAAATTTCATATTCATCAAAAATGTGCTAGGTTATTACCACGATGCCACACAACACGCTGTACGTAAATACGGGCGTGTATACGGCACCTACAGCCTACACAATAAGGGTATCACGATAAACGATCCAACATTAATCCGGGACATTTTGGCTAAAGACTTCCACATTTTTGCCGATAAGCCAATATATACAGGTGCAGCGAAAATATACAAGACCATTGCTCTCATTTCCGCTAATGATCAGTGGAGGCATATAAGGAGTATAATGTCCCCGGCGTTCAGCTCCGGGAGGTTAAATGCCATGATGTCTCATATATCGGACATTTCCGATAGGCTTGTGGATAATTTGGAAAAATACAAAAAGTCTGGTAGGTTGTTTTAAAAATACAATGCAAGTTTATCAATAATTATACAAGTGTGCTCAGATTTTTCAACAAGGTATTATATTTATAATTTTATCAAAACTAACCTACACCAGTATTACTTAGTTTATATTTAATTTTTTTAAAATTTTAATTAAACTTATATATATATATAAATGGTAAATGGTAAATCTGGCATAGAAATAAAATATATTATATAATTTTGGTCAGAAACGTTCAAGTGGCATTTTTAAAAAAATATCTCTAGCATTACAAATTGTTCAAGTACAAAAATGTTTTACGTCACTAACCTAGGCGAACCAATTAAAATAAGCGAATTAATATGCGCGTATGCAATGGACGTAGTCGGTGCGAGTTTTTACGGAATAAACATCGACTCATTAAACAACCCTGATCAACCGATAGAACGGTACTTGAAGCGCATATTTAGCGGTAACGGCACCTTTAGCCAGGCCATGTCATCCATGGCCCCAACGGTGGCCAAGTGGTTGGGACTCGAGTTTTTCGACACCGAGTCGACCGCTTATTTAGATGCCCTAACCGATCGTATATTAAGGGAACGGAAACACAATAATAAGTATACAAACAGTCGGCGAACGGATTTCGTGCAACTGATGATCGACTCCGAGAAGTCTAATCGGGATTTGGGTTACAACTCGAGTAGTGATATCGACCCCACTCCCGAAGAGGAGTCCCAAACAGGGGGTCAACCCAAGGGTACCCTAACTTACGGTGAACTAATAGCCCACGGAATGTCGTTATTTGTAGCTGGCTACGATACTGCCAGTTCCACCATGATTCATTCAATATTTTATTTGTCAACCAACATGGACTGCCAAACCCGGCTGTTTGAGGAGTTAAGCACGTGTAACGAGTTTACCAATGATACCACGATGTATTTAAAATATTTAAACGCGGTGATCCACGAGACATTACGACTGGCTCCACCCCTGACCCTTTACCATCGTGTGTGCCGTCAAGACTACAAATTGGGAGATACGGGTAAATGTATAATATATTTAACTGACATATTGATAAATCTTAAAACCAGCATGATAAAATTGTAAATAAAGTAAACTATTTTAGAATTGATATACTAAATGTAATACTGATATATCACATGTTAATCACATATTACAGGCATAATAATACCTAAGGGAACTAATGTAGAGATATTTCCATATGCCTTACACCGGGACCCGGATTACTGGCCCAATCCCGACGATTTCATACCCGACCGGTGGTTCGAGCCCACACACACCCCCTACGCCTATATACCATTTGGCGGCGGCCCTCGTGTTTGTCTCGGTCAACGGTTTGCCATGAATGAGATGCGAATGTGCCTGGCTAAGTTATTTAGTAAATATGAGTTCACACTGGCACAGCCCCCTGTTTTGGAGTATTACAGGGGATTTCCATTTATGTCGCCTAAGAAATTAATTGTGACAATAAAAACTCGCTAATATTTAAATATTTGTTTGGTAGGTTAAATTATTTTTAATAATAAAGTAATAAATTGATATTAATATTAAATATTATCTCTACCAAGTTTTTTAGGTTAAATTAAAAATACGGGACTGTCTTAATTGCCATACCCGCCATACCCCCTTTATTACAATATTTGACCCGCCATACCACCATTATATCTATATTTGAATCTGCAAACTCTCATTATATTTATCATAACATATACTACACTTATAATTATTATATTTTGTCTTAAATATACTGTAATAGGTTATATAAATTTTGTATAAAATCATTAAAAATATACGGTAAAATAATGTTATTGATATAAATAATTAATGAAATATATAAAACTATTATAATCAATAATTATAGTTTTATTAGTATTTTTGAATAATGTAATGTAAATAATATTTATATAACTTAATTTGTAAGATTAGTCTTATATAATAATATTTTAATTAAAATGGATATACTTAAATTTTTAATACCGAAAGTTTAATATATATCACGTTTATATCAATTGAATATGATTTTAAGGGTCTTATATATGGATATAATGTAGGTATGGCGGGTCAAATATTGTAATAAAGGGGGTATGGCGGGTATGGCAATTAAGACAGTCCCGTATTTTTAATTTAACCTAAAAAACTTGGTAGAGATAATATTTAATATTAATATCAA